GATGATGATGATGATGATGATGATGCTGTGTTGTGCTTTTTGCTCATTCAGTGCTGCTGCTTTGCTGCTGATGTACTTTTGAATTCTCTGGACATTTCTTACTAACATCACATTTGTATCCGCTGTGGGCTCTTTGTTGTTCTGCTGCAGCATAAAGTTTTGCAGCTGTGTGGAAACAGCGTAAACGCCGCTGAAGGAGAGAGAAGGCAGACTAACACAGTGATAATGCCATAAGTCATATCAATAGTTAAACTGTTTTTAATGTTAAATCTGTTCTCTGTGTAAACACAACTCACGGTTCTGCTTAGTTCAGCCAAACGGGTCTGACTTTCTGTCATGTGACTGTTCGTTGCAGCTGAGTCACTGTTGGCTTCCTGGTTGTGTCAAGCAGCCCAGAAGTTTTAGTTTTTGTCCAGAATCTAGTTTATGTTTGGAAAATTTTAAATGCCTAGCAGAATAAAGGGATTGTGATGAACTAGCCTGACTTTAAGCTTAGATTCTTTAAGCTTAGATTCTTTAAGCTTAGATTAGTTTCTCGACCAATGGCACCTAACAGATGAGTCGTTCAAAGGCTCCTGGAAAGTTGAAAACCCGCCTGCTATCTGATAAATGGTGTAATTTTGTCATGTCTTTTTCATAACGGTACAAATTCTTCCAACCTTGTGGCAGGCTTTGGGCTTCAGAGGGTTGATCCAGGAGATGACACACATTTGACCAAAGTGCTTCCTTAATGTTTGACACCAGGCAGAGGTTTCCTGACTTCTGGAGGTGGTTCAGTTGTTTTGCTGTTCAGGTTTATTTGGTCTGAGCTCATTATTTTGTCTTAAGGACTTTGCTCGACTCCTGTATTCGTGTTGTTCCTCGCTGCTGGCTCTGAATCATTCTGGTTTAATGGCAACATCTGGTTTTTTGTGTTTTTAGGGAAAGCATTGTCAAAAAAATGTGTATGTATTTGGTTTGAATTAGCGTCCAGAAGAAGGAGCCTTTCTGCTGTGTTTGTGTTCTGTTGTGCAGCTGGTTTGAGTTCTGTTTATTACCAGCAGAGGAGAATGAGGACCGGTTGAGGATTTGGAGTACAGATTACCTGACCTGAACATGTTCCTCTCTAAAGTGTCTGTTCAGATTCTGCCGTCATTATCCTCGATTTGGAAAAATCCTGACAATAAAAGCTATAAAAAATGAAAGAAGCCTAAAGGCAGAGCTGACATGCTGAGGACATGAGCCAGCCTGGTTCTGATTCGCTTCGGTCGGGCACTGTGAAGGCAGAAAGGAGGCTGGCATCACGGAGCCCAGAGGAGACGTCTTCATGTCCTGAGAGACGACCACGGCTCTCTGGATCGCTGCTTGAGTTGTTTGACTAATCAGCTGCTTGTTGGTTTTGCACATTGTGTCTGTGGCCTTTGTTGTACACAAATAACACCAGGAGAAGGAGAAGAAGGAGAAACAAGGGAAAAGAGGAGAAGGTAGCTGAGGCCTGATGGTGAAAACAGCTATTAATATGACATTCCTCTCCCCGTGGCAGCTCCGGGCCTCCTCCCCTCCGTCTCTTATACAAGTGTCTTTGCTAGAACTTGTTTGACAGGGTCTGGCAGGACGCTGCTGGGTGTGCCGTCTGTCTCTGTGTGTGTGTGTCTGACAAACACACCTTTGTCTGCTCCATATGTAGTGTCCTTGCTCTAAGGTGTGACTTGAGGTTTGGGTGACGGGTCGGGTCATATTCGGAGTTGTTTGGTGGATTTGCATACGGTGGCGTGAGCCCGTTTAACCCCCGAGGTTTGACTTCCAGGCATGTGTGGAGGGGAAAGTGAGCGAGGAAGATGTGTTGTTTTATAGTTTATGTGCACAAATAAACCAGGATCAAGGTTCAGAGGTAGTGCTGTTGAATAATCTCTATTTATGATGAACCACTCCTTCCAGACTGGCACCAGTTGACAAATTCCCCCAGATAGGAGCAGGACGCTCCCCGGCTGCATTCACGGCAGCTCCCTGCGCCGCCGTATGAACACTGGAGGCCGTTTCACAGGGAAACTTGTTTTGACAGAACTCCAGGTGTCTCATTGTTGGGGATGGCATGGTTCAACAGATTTACCAATTAGCACTGGGCTGAGGGCACAGGAAAGGGTGGGAGTGAAGAAGAGAGGGGAGGGAAGCCGTGGAGCTGGGAGGGAGGGAGGCTGGATGAGGAGGATTTGGCCACAGTGATGGAATGAGGTTTTAAGTGAGAGGGGCTGGTAGGGGAAGGTGTGGAGGGGAGGGGTGGCCATACGGAGGCAGGCTGGAGTAAGGCGATCCTTGACCTCATTTTTTTTCCTTTTCCCAGCAGTAGCATGGAAGGGCTGAGGTCTGAGCCACAAAGAGGAGCTACGTAGGAGGAGGACGGGGTGGGAGAGGAGGAGCAGGAGGAGGGAAAAGGGGAGCTCAGTTGCACATGGCTGCAGGTCTTTGCTGCTGTTTGTCCACTGTGCTGCTCAGATTGATAGATTTTTTTACCTCCTGACTCCTGATCGTGCTGCTCACACATCTGCAGTTCTGTCGGCCCCCCTCCATCCCGACTCGCTGGTCTCGCTCCGGTCCGAGGCAGATTTGTGTGGGATTAAACACAATGTTATTGCTCTGTTCTGTTATTACTCTCACTAACCCTCTTTTGTTGTTCCTCAGAAATATCTGCTCCTTTTTCCAGGAAGTTTGAGGTGAACTTTTGAGAGCGGGTTGAAGGCTTTAGAGGATATCCCGGGGTGGCGGCGCTGTGGGAGTAGCTGTTGGCTCCTGGTTGTTATGACGCTGACACGCACGCGCTCGTTCTGTCGGTTCACGAAGCCGCCGCGCTGTTTGGTCAAAGAAATATTCCAGAACTAGAAGGTGTGTTTTCAGCTGCTTTCAAACTGACAACTTTTCTGAAGTTGAGACTCTTTTCAGAGCCCTCCCCTTTTTTTCTCGAGCCGACTAATGACAACAAAGAGAAGTCAGACTTTCTCTGTTTGAAGGAAGCTGTCAGTTTACAACAACAACAACCAGATGAAAACTGTGCAAAGTGGCAAAGTTGAGGGGGAAGCTGTTTGTCTGATCTCTTCGTCTGTAAGCAGAGCAGCGGGCGTCTTGTTTCAGACGCTGTGTAGCATCAGCGGCGTGGACATCAGCGGCAAACAGTTTTTAGGAAAACTGGTGACTAGAGTTCACGGTGCGTACGTGCTGAACCCTCTGAACACAAGCGCTTTGTGGGGTTTTACTTGCTCCTGTCACATTTCTACTGGCTGTGTGAGTCTGGAAACAACACAGCCATGAATAGAAGCTAAATGATGCATTCAGTGCAGTAGGACACAGACACATGACCATCAGTCACAGAAAGAAGTTAAAGGCCTGTTTAAAATATATCAACACTGACAGTGACCACAGTGTGACGGCAGGAACACACACATGGTTTATTAGCTCTGTGCAAAGCCTGCAGTTCATCCCGGTGACTCCACGGTTGTGCCGACGGCTGCAGGATTCTCTCAAGACTCACTTTTTTTGCACATTTCTAAGCTACTCACACAGAATGATGATGGAACATCACCTCCCAGATGAGCAGTTCAAGGCCCGTCGGACAATCCAAACTCTGGTTGTCTTTTGTTTCTGGCTCTAATACGGGATGTAATTTAGTTGATTAAAAACAAATAAAAAGATTTCAGAGGGTCAATGCTGCAAAGTGCTTCTAGACTCTGAGCATTTAGTCAGCTCAGGCCTGGGATAAATAAAGTCTATTCTATTCTATTCTGTTCTATTCTACGTTTTGTTGCTCAGATGCTTTGACACTTGAAGGCTGTCAGTAATCCAATGTCTGAATCCTTTATTAGCAGATCATTTGGGAGCTCCTAGTCAGAGCCAGACCTACACTTAGAGACACCTCAGAGCACCTCGAAGATGTGAGAAGATCCGTCAGTGATCAGAACAGCGATTGATAACTAGCACAACAAAAAGGTGTTTGAAGGACTCGCCTATCAAATACCTGTGGTGTCCTTCATAGATATCACCGGTTTTCATTCAGTTCATGGTGGAAGGATCCCACGGTTGTTTAGGCGACTGCCTTTTTCTTTACATATGAACAAGCAGCTGGTGATGGAGGGTGATGGAGACAGCTTGTGGAGAGGCAGGAGGACGGTGCTGTGGTGGAGAGGGGCAGGAGGACGGTGCTGTGGTGGAGAGAGGCAGGAGGACGGTGCTGAGGTGGAGAGAGGCAGGAGGACGGTGCTGAGGTGGAGAGAGGCAGGAGGACGGTGCTGTGGTGGAGAGAGGC